AAATATTATTTCTGAATTGATTTAATAATTACAAAATGAAATGGATAGTGTCTGATTACGTTTTAATTAGAAATAAGTTCCACATACTTTATATATGAGTAAAATTCTTTGACAAGTAAAGGAAGTATCGAGTTTGTGGCCAGTTTTAGTTTTTTTTTTTCGCCGAAATATTTGCCATACTTTTTTTGTTTAAATCTTCACCAAAAGTGAATAAAAGATTGATATGAATGAGGAAAATAGAACAGATGAAATGTATGTGAAGAAATAAACAAATTGACATAAATAATTATTTTTTATAAAATGCGAAAACAAATTTGTTTGTTTGCTTATTTATTTTTTGTTTAATTTCAATTTTATTGTTTGTCAAATTAATCAAAACTATGTCAACCGTCGTCCATTTATGGAAAATTTGTAATGACCCCAAAAGGTTTGTGCCCATTCTATTTTGTTCTCCACACTTTTTCTTCCTGTTTTTTTTTTCGCCATTAACTTACTTTTCATTTTCTATCACATTCCATGCACAGTAATCGATTCATTACTACTTACTCCTAATGGTAAATGGTATATTAACTTTAAAAAAAAAGAAAGAAACAATTATAGATGTGATAATTAGCCGTAAAATCGAAGAATAATCAAAAATTTGAAATGAAAAATAGAAATTTGAAATAATACAGTAAAATAAATAATTCAATTCGTATACAAATGATTGTTATATTGAGATGAAGAAGAAGTAAATTGTTAAAAGTGATTACTTTATTTTTTTGTTAATCATTTCAATTAATTATTTCAACCATTTCATATGTTTGACTTTGATAATAGTACATGTTATTGATAAGAAATTTGTAGCAAAAAAATTTTAATTTTAATTTAATATATTAATACCTTTTTTCGTTATAAATTAAAAATACGTTGTAAATTACATTAATATTGCTAGTTTAATATAAATTTTCGAAAAAAAAAAATTGATATATTACTTTTTATGGTTTTTTTTTCGTTGCCAATAATACCTTTCTTCTTTCTTTTTTTTTCCTGTTATCAATTATCAATGCAATAAATATTTTTGGAAGAAATTAGCACGAAAAAAAAAACATTTATACAATATTTTATTATTCAAATCATCAGAAATACAATTTTATTATAGTATCATGATTATTTGCTGCTATTATTATTATTATTATCATTTTATTATTATCATAATTTTAATTTATCAAACATTAATTTATTTAAAATTTTTGGAAAAAATTTAAAGTAAAAAACTTTTATACGGTGTTGTCTTACTGATAATGTATTTTTTTTTCATGAAATCATAAGAAATACAATTTTACAAGAGTATCATGATTGTTAGAATATCATGATTATTTGTTGTTGCTATCATTATTATCATTTCATCATTATCCTAATTTTATAAATATATCATGATAATTAATTTGCAACATCATTTTTGTTTTTTTTTCTTTTTTTTTGAATATTTTTTTAATCATTTCTGGATATTTTTTTCCATTACCCTACATCAATGATTCATTTTGTACTGTGTGGATAGCGATAAAATGTACCTGTGATAAGATCATTAAAAAGTGTCATTAAAGTAATTTTCAATTTTTTCATACGCCCACTGTCAAGATCATTAAAATGTAAGGACCAGGAGAAAAAAAAAGGAATATAAAATTCGCAAAAATCACTTGTCATAAATTTTCTTCTGACATACCACAAATTTTTTTCTTTTTGGCTAAAATAAATTTCCTAAAATTAATAATTTATTTATTTGCTTTGAACTGTTCAAAATTGAATGATAAAATTTTGCAATTTTTTATGCAATTACTATCAGTAAGATATCGTTGCTATAATTGCGCCTAAAAGTGATTTGTTAATGATATGAAATCACCGATATATTTTACACCATCACCAATAACAAACGATGAAATAGCTGGGGCGGAAAAAATTCGGTTAGTCATTTTTAAATAATTCCCGACTTTTTTTTTCAACATTTTAAAACAATTTTGGCAAATATCATTATAACACAGTAATATAATAAATATTTCCACATGTATACTGTAGTATTACCGTACGCAATAATATATTAAATACTATCTTATGCATGCTGTAATTATAACTATACATTATTATACTATATTTTTGTCTATATATAGATATATATAGAAAATGAAACATTATTGTAATTAATTTTCAAACAAATATTTATTTATACATACGATAATCGTGTACTGTAAATTTTACACCTACGGTAATATCGTATACAATAATATATTAATATTTCTCTATTTATATAGTAAATATTATTGTATTTATTACTTGTATTAAATATTTTATCATATGTAGAGTAAGTATTAGGAAAAATGTTAACATAGAGGAATACCATAATTTTCAAATGAATCTTTTTCCACGTATACGGTATAAGCGTATACGGTACATATCTGTTGCACATATATATATATATATATATATATGTTAATATTTTATAGAGAAATAGTTGATGATATTCCGGATTTATTTAATACAACATTTTATTTGGCACGTTGGTGGCGTGCATATAATGGTGATTTAGATCGTATAAAACAAAATATGAAAGATTTATTTGATCATCGTCGAGCACTTGGATATGATCGTATCGAAACACATTTGTTACAAACAAAACTAGAATTTGCTGGAAAAACATTTGAAGTGAGCAGAAAAAAAAGTGTTAAAATTTTTTTTATCTTTGATATGATTAAAAATGATAATAAGATTGTATTAGTTTGTTTTTTTTTAATTTGTTTCATTCTTATTCTGGAATTTCGACAAAAGTTTGAATTTCTTTGCACTTTACTTTTTTTAAAAGCAGATTCTCAAGTTTAATAATTAATTACTCGATGAAATCAAGAAATCAAAAGTTTCAAAAATGAAAAGATCAAAAGTCATATATGATCATTTTTTCTTTAGCTCATTTCTCGTTATTTTTTCCTCTTCTTTTATTCTTCAAGATATTTTTTATAAATTCCAAATTTTTTTTCCAAATCAATCAGATCAATTTCAGCGTTTTTGCATCTCAAAAATAGCGCTACATCGAAAGATGAATAATGTTTGTGTATTTTTTCAACGAATGATTACAAATGATATCGATGAAGTTTTTATTATTTTCATTTCTTGAATTAATATTATTTCCAATTTCCTTGATTAATTAATATCGTCCCCATTTTAAATTTTAAATTATTAGCATTACTATTTTCAATTGTTGCAATTTTTATTCTCAATTTATATCATTTCTATTATTGGATTTGCATTAATTCCATTTTTTTTTGAATTAGTAATATTTCTATTTTTTTTGAAGTTTTCAATTTTCGATTCGTATCATTTCCATTTTTAAATTATCCTTATAAAAATTATAGATAACTAAAGTGGTACCATTCAGTTATGTTCTTCATTCGTATTACATAATGCAAGAAGCATTTACTCGAGCTCAATTAGAGGTAGAAAAAGCAACAGGTAAACCAGCAGCTGTTGTTAGCATTCTTGACCTTTCGGGAATAAATACGGCAGCATTATTGAATCCGCTAAGTGTTTCGGCGCAATTTGTACGATTAATTGTGAAAATATGGGCGGATTATTTTGTTGAAACGGTAAAAATTTTTTGTAAAACATTTTGTACTATTAATTAATTATAATCTTTGAAGAAGAAAAAAAATTAAATATCAAAATTAAATTGTATTTTTTAACTAAAATTCAATTGAAATTCTTTTTCATTTTTTTACGTCATTAATGAAAAGAATAAAATTAACATTTTGAATATTTTCATTCTTTTTTTTTTATTATAAACAAATTTTTACGTAATCCAATTTACGTTTTTACGTAACATTCGATTGTTTTATTTATTTTTGTAAATTGAAAAAAAAAACAACTAAACTGAATTAAAATTTGACCTATCCAATATTTTCTACGACGATAAATACAATCAATCAATCAATATTGCCATCTCTCTCTATTACTAGTGAATTTTTTTTTTTTTTGTTTTGTTGTATTTTGATATAAAAAAGAGTTAATTGAAAAAAAAAGACATAAAAGATAAAAATCTTTTTTATCAAATCTAATCAAACGATCACAATTTTGTGCATTTAATCTGTTCACTTAGAGTGGACAATTAATAAGCGCTCTTGTCAACATGTCATCTGCAAGTATTGGGGAATATATATGAAATATGTCACATGTAATAAATGAATGAATTAAACCAAGTACAAGTTTATTGAAAGCATATACAAATGTAGATTGCATGGATAGATAATAGTTTATAAACATGACATTTTTTCCTATGATCAATTAATCAAAATAATATATATTACTGATCCGGAACGTAGACAATATATCTTGGAATATTTTATACTACTCTAAATGTGATTATATGATACTGATCCGGAATATAGACGAAATGAAATCCTGTAATATTTTGCACTATTCACAATAAATCTAAATGAATATTAATCCGGAACATGAGCAAACCTGTGTTCAATCTTTTTTTTTTTTATTTTGCATATTTCCCAAACTTTTCTTTAAATCTTTTTGACATTCTTGAAAAAAAAAAAAAATTAGCTAAAAGCAATCAATTCCAGTTCTTCATTTTTTTTGTAAAAAATTAATTAATTGATTGTTTAATTATAAAATTTCATTTTTAATTGATTGAAGAAGAATGAATGAAAACGAATGTAATGTTTGATTGCAGCAAGCGAAGTTATTTATTGTAAATTCACCAGCATTATTAAGCATAATGGGACAAATTGTCAAATTATTAATGGATAAGGTGACACAATCACGTCTTCAATTCCTTTATCAACCAACTGATTTAATCAAACATTTAAATCCTTATGTAAGTTAATATTTCAATTCCAAAATTTATTATGAAAAAATTTTCAAATTTTATAAAATAAAATTAAACTTTATCCATAAATAAATTAACTAGGAAATAATTAAATTAGCATACTGTGAAAAATTCAATAAAATAATATTTGCATTTATGAAAGAATTGAATTTTGAATATTTGAAATTTCAAAAAAAGAAAGAAAATTCAATGATCAAAATGACTATTTTCATTCAAATTTTTTCTGATATATCGTTTATTTATCATTTATGGCATTATGATCAGGAATTATTTCAAATAAATTTATTGGATTGTTTGAAAATCCGGTAGAATCCGTATACCGTTTGTTGCACTGTAAAAAATCCGGAATTATTTGTCTGAAAAAAAAAAGAAAACTACCTGTTTTCTTTTGTTTTTTCTTTTGTTTTTTCCCTGTTTTCTTTTGTTTTTTCCTTTTGTTTTGTTTTCTTTTGTTTTTTCTATGTAAATATTTTAGGAAATCGGAATTTCTTTCATTTTTTTTTTCTTTCATACAGTTGGTACCAGCAATATATGGCGGAGAATGGTATGATGATAGTGGATATGCGGAAAAACCGGAATTAGTATGTCAAAAACCAATTAAAATAGAACCGGAACATTATTATAATTGTGATTTACTTTGGCAAAAGTATGGTTTTACAAAAGTTCCACCAAAATGTTTGGAAATAATCAAACGAAAGCAAACATTTGAAGTACAAAAGTAAGTTTATATTTTTGGAAAATGTTAAAAAGAATGCAAGAATAAAATAATTTTAAATTTAAGTGAACATGAAAATGTTTAATAATCATGTAAAAAAGTTTTATATGAAATGAAATTTATTTCAAAGAAAAAAAAAATTTGCAAACTTTTTTTCATATTTATTAAAAAAAAAAATTCAATAATAGAGGAACTTTTTTGTCTTTTGATTTTTTAATTTACTAATTTCTATTTTAATTTTAGGTTTCTTCTTTTTTTTTTGCAGAATTTGTACAACAGAATCACAAATACTATTATGGCATTTTACGGTAAGTACTGACATTGAATTTATGATAATAGCAACAAATGAAATGGATGATGAACAAATTGTATGGCCTAAAATAACACTTAAAAGTTTAGGAACACCAGAACAAGGTTCAATTAGTTGTAAATGTAATTGTAAATATACCTTACTTTTTAAAAATCCAACTCGATTTTTAACACCAGCACGATTAAAGTATGCAATTGAATTATGTTCAAATGTTATAATTTGAATATATCTTAAAAACAGAGAGAGAGAGAGGGAAGGAAAGAAGAAAGAACGGAAGAATATTCAAGTTAAAATTATTTAAATTATATATCGTAATCCAAACCGGTACTGTCACCTTATTTTAATTAGCTAAACATACATTTAATTGGAATTTAAAATAATTATTAACGTACAACAAAATAAGTATATTAAAAAGAAAGGAAATTCATTTTAATTATACCTAATAAAATATGAAAAGAATTTTTTGGACGAATCACAAAAAATTTGTTACTTTTACTTTTATTTACTGTTTCATTTTACATTTATTTACTCTCATTAAATACGAAGAAATATTTAATTCGTTTAATTTTATGTGAATTTTTTTTTTTATTTATGTGAACTATAAAAATGTTATCTGATTATTTGTCACAAAAAACAAAAATGTTAACAAAAAACAAAAACAAAATGTCCTTCATCAATTAGTTATTTTTTAATTTGTTTCAAAAAGTTACCAATCAATATTATCATTATTGTCAAAGTAATATTTACATATATTTGATAAAAATTCATTTCAATCATTTATTCCACACTATGAATATTGAATTGAAATTTTCCCGAGAAATTTGTCCGTACTTTTTTTCTGTTTGAATTCCAATTAAACATGCAAATAATGATATGATGATGAAATTGTCAAGAAAAAAAAAGAAGAAAAATAACCATGAAAATGGAAAAAAAAAAGTCCCTGATCTAGTAAAAGAAATTCATTTAAGAAAAATTAATCCGCTAAATTCTTCAAGATTTTAATGTTAAGATTTGAGAATCACCGGGAAAGAGGATGTGAAAGGAAAAAAAAATTACAAGAATTAGAAATTAGGAAATTAAAAATTAGGAAAAATTTTAGAGTGTAGTTTTTTGAAATTTAATTTTATATACCTTAAAGGAATTCGTTGAAATTAATTTGAATCTCCAGTATTTTACCAAAGTACAATTTATTCAAAAATAAATCCAACAACTTAGTGCACAAATAAAAAAAGACAGCCAAGCGCGAGAAAACGTTGACAAATGATTGATGTGTAATCTATGGAAGAATTAACAATTTGATTTCATGATTTTATTAACAAAGAGCAGATGAAATAAGTATTTTTAAATAATTCAATGTAACAAATCAAAGTTCATATCGTTAAAACATAGAAAACATTTATCAAAATACACAATTTTAGTAAACATAATGTTTAGATTCCCGGAAAAATAACCGGAAGCTACAGAACCGTCTTGAAAAATAACAGTCATTGTGTATTCTATTCCAGACAATTCACATCAGAAGTGAAACCGGAAGTTGAAGGAAAAAAGTAGTGTCACTTTTCATTCAATCACTAGACAATGATATTACTTCATTTTCATGACTTACTGATGTACTGACATCATATTTTTTATCCTGTTTTTTGGTTTTGCGACGGAGATATTTCTCCAGTTTCTTCCCACCTTTTAGGTCATCGTACTTTTTCCGCCATATAAGTTCCCGAATTTGTGCTTCAAATATCAAATTAGATATTGGTTTAAATGAATTTAATTGTGAATGCCGTTTTTGTTTTTTTTTTTTTTGAAAATCACTTCAAAATTTAGAATTATTATTTGAATTTTAAAGAGAAATTGCGAAAAAAAGAAAATGCATAGCAAGTAAAATATTTGAATCAACTCATTTAAAATTAAAAAATCCAACTTTTTCACGATGAATAGATAACGAACATATCATAATCGAAAAAACGTATGGATAAAATAATTTAAAATTGGGAGCTCTATCTGATATATAAAATAAACCTCTTGTCTTAAAGATAGGAGGTAAGCCTTGACGCATACGCTCGTTATTCTCATGACGTAATTCACGGATTATTTCTTTACGGCGATTAACATCTGCACGTGTTCTGTAATGGGAATAAAAGCCAGTTCATAAGAACAAATAAGTTTTAAGAAAATTAACGCGTTAAATTTTAATTCATTTCCTACAAAAAAATTAACAAAATAAATGAAAATAATTCGGATAAAAGGAGACAGAGAATAGTGATTATGATTATCAATAATGATGACAATAACTGTTGGTGACTTCTGATTGAAACTCCAATAATTTCTATCAAACAACAGCAAGCTGCGTTTTTTTTTCTTTTACCATCATAAATGTAGACTAATTTATATGAATGTTAAAATTTAGGAAATAAATTCATGCAAAACTTACTTTTCCTGATTTTTCATTTTCCTAAGTGCCTCTTTTAAGCGGTTTCTGTTAACATTTCCCTCTTCTGTCGCATTTTTTAGTTCTTCTATTAATATCTAAAAAAAATTCACAAGTTGAAAACCATGTGAAGTGGGACATATATCTGAACCTGAAATATTCGAATACATAATTAAAATGACGAAAATCCACAAATTCTAACTTTCTTCGCACTGATAGAACGAACAACCTTTACCACATACTCAAGTAATCTATAAGTTATCACTTATCACAACAAATGGGACAGAAATAAAATGTACAAAGAGATAAATACCTTTTTCTCTCGTTGACGTATTTCATCTAGAAAGCTATAATTATTGTGATATATGTAATCATTGAACTCGCCGCATCTGCTATCGAATCGAGGATCAAATCTATAACAAAAAATGAGATTGCAAATTAAAATAATCTGAATATTGAATCTCAAATCATTTGATGTTTTACTAATGATCGTTTCCGATGAGTTTTAATTTCCTAGAAAAATAACCTATCCATTAATAATATATCCATTATATAGATAAAGATAGTTCTAACAATAATACACTCCTATCAGTAATTTTATTACGTTGTAGTAAAATTCGTGGTACTTAGGACTGTATTAATTTTATTATAATTAATTTTTATACGAAAATAATAAAGAAAGGAAAGAAAAGTGGTTAGGAAAAAAAGGAAAAAGAAAATGTAATCGAATTAAAAATAAAATAATGAATATAACTGATGGCAAACATTATTATATTCACTTATCCCAAATATAATCACCTAATATTTGAAAGACTGGAGAAGGGAAAATATACAAGAAGCGTAACACAGCGTACAAACGTACACACAAAATACAAAGTACAGAATACAAAAAAAAGGAAAAACAAGGATTTTAGGTAGATGCATAGCGGAGTGTCACTTACATCGGTCTTTCCAATTTCTCATTCTCGAACACGTTCCTGAATTTAGATACCGGTATTTTCGACGAAACTTCACGTGGCCTTTTTGGGTTTTCACGCTGCAAGCCAAAAAAACCTGCATTATCCTTGCGCAACAAAAATAACTAGGAAAATTTGTAATTATTTAATATATCTTCATGGATAAGATAAAATTGTCCGGTATTTTGTTTTCAGGAAGAAAACTAAATCATTGATACTATTTTTATTGATACTATTTTCTTCAACAATCTGACCATGATAGGATGTTATAATCTACCATAACTGACTAGTCCAAGACAAATTCTTAATAAGAGAATTAAAACACCACAAAAGCTCTTCGAGCCGATTTGTTGTTAAGACTGGACGATGAATCATCAACGAAGAATGCCCTGTCGAACAATTTTTTCCCTATCCGTTCTTGCAACTGTTTTGCCTTGCCTAATGGAATTTTTGCTATTTCTGAAATGTGAAAAAATATTTTTTTTAGCTTCGAATTTAAAGGGAATGCGAGCTAAAAAAAATGACAATTTGGGAGCTTAAGTACCAAAAAATAATCGACAATAATTTTAAACATTCAAGCATCAAAATAATTTTGCAATTATAAAAATAATCACTATCACATATACGAGGAAAAACGAATAATTTGAAAATCTCCCGAAATACCTTCACGAAACTCTGTATTGTCCAAATTTGCTTCTTCATGTTCTTCAGCTAGAGAAGTTATTAAGTTTTGAATAGGCTTTCTAGGTTCCATAAGTGCCACTTCCTTCGCATCTGAGGAATGCCTATCAAGCTCTTGTGCAACGCTACTAAAAACCAGATTATACTAGAAAATAAATGAACACCCTTTGAAGATGTATAGAATTCAGAAATGCAATTGTGTCAAATATAAAACAAGCTTTTCTTTTCTCTTCAACTTTATTTAAATTCATTCTCTTACTATGCAGTTATAGACTGGAATTACGATGTCATCTGGAAAATTTTCTGGATTTTTCCACAATCCTACCCATTGCACTATTAAAAAAAAGTTGAGATATGGAACTCAGTGAAAAATTTAATTTTACTTATACCAAACAGGATTAAATCTTAATCAAAAATACAAAAATTTATTTAATTTAAGCATATTGAAAATTACTTTCATTAACTTTCAGTATTAGATCCGTATCACTAAACGATTAAAATATAAAAGGAAGTGACGAACCTTGTGGAAGAGAATTTATCATCTTTCGTTTCCATTTCAGATTTTCGAACATTACTGGTACTACTGGTGCTATTTTTCACCTCATCAGATATGCTTGATACTCGTTTCTTTCGATCATTTAAACGATTTCCTTCCAACAATCGCTTTCTACTCCTGAGCCTAAATAATCAAAGATTTGCATTTTTAATATTAATTTCAAAATTTAATGGTATTCTGTCAATAAGATTCTCAGGGAAATATTATGCACCATTTGTTCGTCGTGATCAAAGCTTCGGATAATTTTATATAAAAATACTTCGATTATTCTAAAAACTAAATAGATTAATGACACTTAAAATGGAGTACTTCAAGAATGTAACGTAAACTAGGAAAGATTACTGATAACTGATAATGATAATGCTTAAGTTTACTGTGCCAATTCTAGTCCTAAAACAAATGTAAATATAAGATTTAAAATCTGCTTCAAATACACGCTTTTTATTGCTTCTCAAATGGAAATATTTAGTTTTTACTTAAGATTAATTATGGTCGAAATAAATGAAACGTTTTGTTTTCTTGCACTTACTGGTCATTATCATCAGAAGTTCGCGTCATGGTTTCATCATTCTCTGCCGAGATATTTTTTTTTCCAAATTCCTCAGCATTCAATGATTCATCGGATTGTTTTTTTGTTTTTTTCGCGACATAAGCTGCTTGTTTTTGTGCTTTTTTCGTCTTTTTATCCCTGCATAATTTTATTCCATCACAAATCAAATATAATTATCATCAATAGGATGTATGATTAAAATTTCATAAAATTATAATTACCTTATTTTAGCAGGTAGCTTTCACCTAGTAAACCAATCAGTAAATCAATCAAAGTATACACAGCAGAACTACATTGTAGGTTTCGTTTGCCGAAGATACGAGAAAAAAAAAGGAAATGAATCCCAAATAAAGCTTATATTTTGGGGAACATAATATGTTACATGTTCATATAGATTATTGATATTTATTTACACCAAGTAATGGTATGTATTTCTAATATTTTGGTCAAATAATGGCATATGCTTCCGATATTTTGGACAAATAATAGAAGCAATGACAGCTATCTTTGATATTTGGCCAAGTAATGGCAAATACCTCCGGTATTTTGGCCAACTAATGGTAAATTATCTATTTCAACTCTTGATCAATAATGTTAGTGTAAGTATGCTACAGAAATCATTTGTAAAATTTTTTTAAAATATTGAAAAAAAAGACTAGTTAAAAAAAGAACTTTAGTAACACAATTTATTAACAAAAAAAATGAAAGTACCTTTACTGACATAATTTTTTATCGAGCTTAATCGATAAACCAATCTTCGCCTTTTAAAAATTTTTAAGTGCACTTTACGATTGATTACGTATAATTGCTAACCTAAACTAAGTATCTGAAGTTAATTTAGAAAATTTGTTTTAATTATATTACTTCCTATGATATTATAGTTTAATGAATTCATTAAATGTCAATACTAAAGGTCAACTACAACAAGACTTGAATTTATTCAAAAAAGGTCAATATAAATCTAACTTGAATAAGATCAATACAAACAATATACATTTCATTTGCATAATCTGCAAGCCATAAATATACAATTCCTTTTTTTTGATTAAATAGTGCTAACTTACACATTTCCCTCTCCTGTAAATGATCTGTTTTGATGAAAAGTTAAGCCAATAACCCTTTCGATTGAAAAAAAAAAAGATTTCAATACTTACTTAGATTGTTGTTCTAATTTCATTTCAATTTCATCGTTGTCACAATTACAATCATTTTCATTGAAATTAGATGGAATATAATTTTCTTCTTTTCTCTTTTCCATTTCCCGACCTCTTTTCCATTTCCCTTTTTTTGATTTTGAATTATTATTGAAAATTGTCTTCTTTGGAAATGTTCGTTGCATGTTCAAAATTTCTTCCGCCATTTCTTTTCCTTAAAAAATAGAAAAAATCATATCTGTAACTAACAATTTCAATATTATATATCCAATATTTGAAAGCAAAAAAAACTAAGCTTTGGTATTGTTATCGAATAAATTCAACAGGATAACAATTTCCATATGTCGTACTAAAGTTAATTACATCATCAACTTTTCTAGATAACTTTTCAGGTGAATAAGCAATATGCAACCGATTGTTTGAGACCTTTTGAATAGGAATTTAATAAGAAGTAATTATCTGACACTTGGTAATAATTAATAATAATAATTAATAACTAGTGAAAATAATAATGATAATAACAACAAATAAATAAATAAATAAGTGCATGAACAAAAAAATAAATAAATACATGAATTAAAGAAAAATAAATAAACAAATAAGGTAAACAAATAAGATAAATAAATGAATGAGCAAATAAATAAAATAAACAAATAAGGTAAATAAATAAGATAAATAAATGAATGAGTAAATAAATAAATGAATAAACAAATAAATAAATAATAATGATTAAAAGATAGATTCCCCAGATAGAAAAATTTCTCTGTAAAGGAAAACCTTCGCATATGCATCACGGCGATTTCAAATTCAAATTATTCATTCATTTCAAATTCAAGTTATTCGATGACCCTTGAAAATATAGTTTGGAAAAATCATAAAATAAGCCTTCTTTGAGGAAGAAATTCCTTCAAATATGTAAATTGTATTTTGAAGGGAATATTTTAAATTAAGGACATAAAACTCGTCTTAACTTACTATCTCGTCAATATACGATCTACTATGCAACTACTAAGTCAAGTTGTCGTACTTACCTTTTGGAGTAAATAAAAATTTGAAATAATAATTGATTGCACTTGAAATCAGATCATCCAATGATCATTTGAAATATCAAACCAATTCTAAAACGATAATATGAAATGATCCTTCCCTGTGAAAGAATTTCCTTAACGGAATAACTTGTATATGGCCATATCAATTTATCGTCATAATTAAAGCCAAAATTAGCCAAATTTGATTCAACGAGTCAACATACTTTGTGGAATAACTATTAAATTAATTTATAAAAAAAAAGAAAAAAAAAGAATCATGAAGATATGAACTATTAGCATGTAAGGAAGCAGTAAATATTTATATCAAACCATATGCTTTATTTACAATTTCTATTTACAGACTTGAAAAGCTAAAGAAAAAAAAACTTCAAATTAATAAACTATACAAACAAATTTCAAACACTATAATGTAAATAATCAATCATTTAGCACTTTATGAAGCAAAAGCAAAAAAAAAAAACATTATACATAAATTTATAACTATACATATTACGAGAATTAGTATATCCCATACAAATATAGGATATACAAAATGCGATGATGGGGACTTTAATGAATAATAAAAAATTAAACCTTTGGAAAAAGTATTGAAGAAAAAAAAGAATCCTAATTATACAGACCATACTTGGTAAAAATTAATGAGTTGTAAATTCATTTTTTCCCAATTTTATCCTTATTCAAAAAATTTTAATTACCACTACTTCACCTTTAAAATAAAACTGTTAATTGTTAAAGCTGAAAACTATAGCAATGATAGATTGTACGTATGTATATAATGCATATCATGGGTTGCATCAAAGTTAAAAAGTAAGATTTTTTTTTTAATGAATCTATATTCTGTTTCAATTTAAACAAATAAAATTAAAAGCTAATAAGAATGACAGAAAAAATAAAACACGATGAAACAAAAAAAGAAAGAGACAGCAAGCGCTTAGTTTTTTTTTTACAAAATTTGTAGCAAATTTCATATAAAGTAACAGATTTATTCAATGGCGCATTATACAATTTTATAAATATATCGTAGCAATAAGTGGGTTTTGTTACAACTAAGAAAAAAAAGAAAAAATTTAAGGTAATTAAATTGCTGCAGTATCAAATATCAAAAATGACACATAAAAACATGACTATCAAAGCATAATGAGAACTTTTGATAAGAGAAAAAAGAACATACACACACACACACACACAATATATATATATACAACAAAAAAAAGCAAAAGCAGTAACATGCGAAATACAATAACTTTCATATACAATGAGCAAGTTGTAATTAAAACGAAAGTACAACCCGCTGCAAAAATTTCTTATCACCGAATTCAAACTTTAATTCATCTTTACAAAGATTAAAATGGCCTTACTAATTTCCCCGGGAAATACCATCAAATCCTATCCTCAAGCTGTTCCCGTATATTTGAAATAAGTACTCATAACCATTCTGACATTTGAAAATGCATTGTTTTGGAAGATTTTAATATCAGAAACTTATGAAACTCATCAAAAACAGGAAATCTCAGAAATATCATTAATTGGGAAAAAATCCCGTCACGATCTCTAGCTATCTCATAATTAAGGCTTCCTTTGATATACGAATATGCTTTCGGAAGCACGGGTAGTACAGAAAAAAATAGGCAAAGAATAAAGAATCATCCAAATTCATTAAATATTATAAAATGAATGAGAAAAAAAAATGCAGCTTTCATTTCAAACATCCAGAATATGACGTGACAATCCAGGAGGTGACGACTCATTTCCAGTCAGTTCCTGTTGCAGCTGTTCATCTTCACTTCGAGGCGAAAGTGATGTTTGAAGAGGTGAAATCGCACTTTGTGCTGGAACACTCCAAACATTGCCTACTGCTTCTGCCGTTGTATCTCCTGAACATCGTATTGCCGTTCCGCTTACAATTGGTGCTATGTTTGCAGAAACTGGAGAGACCTGTGCTACATGATGACATGCCATGGTTGTCGGAGGGGATACTATTTCAACGCGGTGACTATCGCAATGAGCATGTAAATTACGCAGATATGCGATACTTAAAGCGGTCATTTGTGATGTAAGAGCCATATCAATCATATGACTTTTTTCTGGAAAAAGAAGAGAAAATGTATATTTTGACGTCTGATCTATTCCAAACTTAATATGAATAAGATACTGACAATACTCTTCTATTATTCGTGTTTTTTAGTAATGCCACATTTCTCTGTCAGATATTTCTTAAAAAAAAGAAAAACATAAAAGTAAGCGTTAATCATTGCAAAATACATGCAACCATCACCGTTCTTCCGATAGTTGAAATTTATCTAATTGATCTGGAAAGAAAAGAATGATTTAAAAAAAAAAATCATACTTACTTTCACCATGTAAAGACATATTTGCTAATGCACCAGACAAATCAGGATCACACAAGGAAGCAATAAATGGTTGTCGACCTACAAATTTTCTAAGCTCCTGCTCAGCAATGGGGTTGAAAGAATGTAAACTATTCAGCAACATGTTATCATCCACAACAACACCTTCTCTCAATGTATTCATGTCGTGTGCCATCTGAAATTTCACAGAAAAAATTTTTTTCTGATCATTTGTCAATGCAAATTACTTTTGGAATTTATTTGAAATTAAAAATTAAAACATACACGATCCCGTATGTCATCAAGGAAGCGAGCAGCACGAGGTGGTGGTTTCCACTTTGGATGATTGCTAGCAAAATGTACCAAAGACAGCTCTGTTTTCCCATCATTAGCATGAACTCTTCCATGCATATTTGCAACTTCTACAAGCAAATAAAAAAAAACAAGAAAAAATATATATATATTTTATTAAACGAGATCAAAAGAGACATACATAAGTAAACTAACTATTCCACATTTTGCACAGTATGAAAATATCGCTACTGGTAAAAAGGGGAAATTTATAAAGGATTTGCTCAAAAAATCGTACAACTACAAATTAATGACAACAAGTGCTTGAAATTAATAATGTTAGTAATTTAAAATGTGAATTTCACCTTCTTTAGTAAGCTCATCAAAGCTCCAATTCGGGTCCCCATGCTGTCTGATATCCATCTGTGCAAACGAGCAAACATCACCAAGACCTTCCACAGAAATCGTAAAATTGTGGAAAAAATCCACAAGTTCTTTCGCTTTGGGACGAATCCTAGGAAATAACATAAAAAGAGATATAATTCTGCCATTACGACAAAAGGATATTAATTTTTATCTAAATTTTTTAGAAACATAAAGTATTAATTTCCAAATACAAACATAGAAGTGTGAAGAAATAAGAAAAAAATGAAGAAACTGTTATAAAACTTTTTTTCAGTGAAATTCTCGAGAGACGATTTTTTTACACTTCCTCCTTTCTATCACAATGTAGCCTTTACTGAAACCCTACCAAAAAAGTAGAATAAATGGAGTTAAAATTGGACTCAGAAGTTCTTCAAGTAAAAATTTCGCTTTCAACTCGAATAAATGTCCAAATTCCTTCCGAACCATATCTGAAATAGATGCCTGTCTTCTTTGTTCTAGAGTTTTACCAAATTTTTATTTTTGCCGAGAAAATGAAGTAACGCTACCAGACTAGTTTAGATAACACCAAAGCTTCTGAAAGTAAAAAATCAGAAACTCCGAAACTTGCAACGTTAGTGTATCGTTCAACAGTATTAGAACCAAACAGTAAAATTATTTCGGATCAGTTCCATTCTTTTACATTCATAAATAAAAAGCCATAGATAAACCGCATTTTATCGTAAAACCTATCTTCACAATCTTTTCAAAAAAATTGTGAAATGTCTTGAATTTGAAAGGAGCAAAAATCATCCAACGGGCAACAAAACACATCAAACATGAATTCTCCCCTTTTCTAATATTAGCCTATATCGACGTCCAACAGGACGACATCTCAGATATAGAAATTATGAACAGAAACAGAGCGACCAAAAGCCCTGAATTATAATCAAGCATTTTTACAACATTTTTTCTAGAATGATATAACATTTTATGATGAGGAAAATGTTTACCTGAGAAAAAAAACTACGTTACCTGTATGGGCTTTCCCTTTCCACAAGTCTGGTGCATAATGTATCTGTGCAATCACCATATCCAACAATGTTTCAGGCCAGTAAATCATATTTTCATCACCAATGAATGATTGACATGCGACGGCAATCAAACCGCATGTAGATATAATTGTCAGAACGTGTTCAACCTACAACTTAGGCAAGAACTCATTTATTTTGCCAGGTTAGAGTTGTTTTTTCCTTTTTATTCATATGTTTGAATCATGCACGATACCGCTCTCTTGCTTAGTAGTAACGCATCAACTGTGATGTTGGAACGTATCAGCATTGACACGTCGAAGTCTAATGTTAAACTTTCGACTGGCTTTTTGGTGTCATAACTCTTTTTATTTCAATTTTAATGTTGAAATTCATTTAAATCTTCCCTTCAAAACCATAAATTACTAATCTTTTTTTCCAAAAGGATAAGTGAAACAACGGCAATATGTATTAAACTAACCGACAATACATCTTCATCCCACAGACCTAGCAAAAGGAACACTATGCAGATTGCACCTGCAACAAATTGTACTTTTCTAGCGATAACCTGCCCAAGGGGTGAAAGAAACTGCTCCATATACTGGGTTGCAGCTCGATGACTTTTTGAAAGACGCATTCGCAATTCATGATCCAACTCGTTGAAATGTCGCAACTTATTCCTGCAATGCAATGATCCTTTATTATCATATAATCGTATACTAATTATTACATTGTACATTTTTCAATCCATAAACAGATTAAAAAAACAAATTTAAAATTCTTCCTTGTAGTTAAATTCTGAAGTGTAGAAAATTACCTTCCATAATTTGAATACCTACGCATAGCAAATGAACCCGGATCTCGCCTTAGCAGCTCACCATAAGTAAAGAAGAAATATAACACTTGATAAATGAATACAAGTGGGAAGAAAATAAAATTGCCAATAGCCATTTTCAATATTGCTGAATCTAATTCATCCGCTGCAAAGTGATATCAACAGTG